CTCAAATCTTTTAGATCTTGGAATTTGCACAAATAAAATTGTTTTTTTTTTTAAACCTTTTTTTCTTCTTCAAGATTACACTTTATTTTTATCCTTTTCTCTTTTTTTTTCTTTTTATGGCTGTGTAGTGTTGGTCTTTAGGGGGGGGGGTTTCTATCTGTATTTGCTCTTCTCATTTTAAGTTTGTTAGGTATTTGTGTGTGTTAAATTTTATAAGCCAATAAGATTTATTAAAAAAAAAAATCTGGAACACTTCCTTGCCCCTTCTCTTAAGCAATGGCATCTCATTCATTCAAATGTTTAAGACATTGGAATAGGCCAAATCAAGTTGTTTTGACATTATACACATTTTTCACTTCTGCAAGATTACTATTAATGTTACTCCTTTACCTTTTCTATATTTGTCACAAATATTGTAATTAATTTTATGTCAACTCTCTAGAGATCTGAAAATTGCACTAGAATTTTCTAACAACAACAATCACCTTAGTCAAAAACAGAAATAAAGGCCTGTGCTCCCATTCATACACAAGGTTAGGTTTGGGTGTCAGTCGGAATTCTCTCCATCTAAATTTTGAGCATCTTTGCGTAGGTGAGGCTTCAGATGATTGATTCAGTCAGTACTCAAGGCATAACTTAGTAATTGTAAGAACTCTCTTGCCAGCAGTTAGAGGTCCATCAAATCAACTGGGATGAACCAAGGTTGACCGCTGGAATGGTGCTGCAAGGAAGCAGGAGAGTGACAAAATGCAGACAGATGTTTGCCTGGAGGACGATGGGGGCTATAGTACTGCTGAGTGTGGTTCTACTGCTGACCTCCCAGCTGACCATCACAGTAGAAACTGTCCAGTGCACTGGAAATTCTGCTGTTTCTGTTCCACATGAATGGTACCAGGAAGGAAAATACGTCATTGGTGGGATGGCATCGCTCCTTCATTTTGCATTCCCCAGCTATATGTACAATGTACATCCTTCTAAAGAATCATTTACCCTCCCATAGTAAGGAATCAATTCCCAGTCTGATCTATAGGGTGAAGTTTGATGTTAATTTTTTTTCATTGATTATGTGCCATCAAGTTGTTGTCGACTCTTAGCAACCATTAAGAGTCACCATGTTCGCCATGACACTCTATCCCTCACCTGGCCTTTCAAGTCTTCCAACAATAATGTTAATTTAGTGATGCTTTATATTTCTATGGCTGCCAGTTCCTCCTGTTATT